CCCCGTCCACGCTCAAAGTGTATGTGGCAGCCATCGCAGCGCATCATGCTCTGGTGGCTGGCCAATCACTAGGAAGGAATGACCTGGTGGTAAAGTTTCTGAAGGGTGCTAGGAGGATTAACCCCTCCAGGCCCCCTTCGGTGCCGCCTTGGGACCTCTCCACGGTCCTTAGGGCCCTGAGGGGACCACCTTTTGAGCCGATCTAAAACCACTTTCGCTAAAGACTGCTCTCCTGTTGGCATTGGCATCTATCAAGCGAGTGGGAGACCTGCAGGCCCTCTCTGTGAGTCCTGCATGTTTGGAGTTTGGATCGGATGACTCCAGAGTCATTCTCAAACCCAGGCATGGTTACGTACCCAAGGTGCTCTCAACGCCGTTTAGAGCACAAGTTATTACGCTATTAGCCCTTCCCCCTTCTGCCGAGGATGGGGAGGTTAATCTTCTCTGCCCTGTCAGGGCGTTGAGAATCTATCTGGAGCGTTCTGCGTCTTTTAGACAATCAGAACAGCTGTTTGTCTGCTTTGGGGGCCGATCTAAGGGTGATCCAGTCACTAAGCAAAGACTGTCTAGATGGATAGTGGATGCCATCTCTTTGGCCTACACTGCAATGGGTCAGGTTTGCCCCATAGGTGTCAAGGCCCATTCAACCAGAGGTATGGCCTCGTCGTGGGCTTGGTCATCTGGTTTTCCCATTCAAGATATTTGTGATGCGGCCGGCTGGTCCTCGCCTTCCACATTTATGAAGTTTTATAATATGGAGGTACCTTCCCTGCAGGCGAAGGTGCTTTTGGTATGATGGAGGCCTGGTAGTGGCTGGTCTTGTCTACAAAGATTACTGTGCATAATCACATACATATTTATATAAACCCGCTTCGGCCGGTAATAAAGTTATACTAATAATCCCGACGGTGTCTGGTTTGGTTAGTATATTCTGTTAGTTGTTACTGACGTTATATATATATTATTCAGACCCGACTGTGTCTGGTCTGTTATATATACATGTATATGCATATGTTATTGGGTTCTGGCTTGTTCTGTTAGCTCAGGGGTCCTGAGTTGCAGTGCAACCAGTTACTCAGGGTGCGGCGTTTTGCATGGCGTCCCCACTGCGTATAGCTACGCAATACGAAGTGACCGTTCGAAAGGGAACTACTCGGTTACTATCGTAACCTCAGTTCCCTGAGAGAGGGAACGAGTATTGCGTAGCCGGCCGCACTATGGTAACTGGTGAAGTGGTCGCTTCAGTCATATAAACCTGCTATAATGGCGAATTCGGGGGTCTATATAGGCTGGGCCACGCCCCCTCGACGGGCTCTGACGTTGGGCTAGCTCATTGGTCGTGTGTCAGATTCGCCCGCGCCATTGGATGTGCAGTTGCTGCAGCACAGCCTATGAGCGTGTCAGACGCTCAGTGTGCTAGCTGTGCAGCTGCAAATGCGTTTTACATATAGGCTTCAGTAAATCGAGGAAAAGGAGTTTCCCCACTGCGTATAGCTACGCAATACTCGTTCCCTCTCTCAGGGAACTGAGGTTACGATAGTAACCGAGCAGTTCTCTCTAGATGAGGGAACGAGTATTGCGTAAGCTAGCTTACGCTACGGGAAAGATTAATCTTTTCTGAGAAATTGAAGCCAAAAAATTATCCTATAATTTTGTATCCATTGTCAACGCAGTTCAGCTGCAGCAGACCATGAGCGGGCTAGCTAGCCGCTCATTGGTTCGCTCACAGAGAACTGCTTAAGCCTATGAGGAGACGCGAATGAACTCTCGGCCAATGAGAGTCTGACATGCTCTCATTGCGTCAGAGCCCGCCGAAACGGGCGTGGTCAGAGAGTATAAATTAGCGTCCCAGGCTGTAAACTCTGGTTTTCATAGAATGAAGCGAGAACGCTAGTAGCACAAGCACGGCCAGGAACGCAATACTCGTTCCCTCATCTAGAGAGGACCGAGGTTACGTTAGGTAACCGATTCGTTCTCTTACGAGAGGTTCTCTCGTATTGCGTAAGCTAGCTTACGCTACGGGAACACCTGGTCAACGCCATGCGTGCTAAGCATCCACTATGAGTCCCAGGGGAGACCCCGGGGAACCCTTAAGAGTGGGAATAAATATATATGTACATGTGACAAAGGCCAGCAGAGCGGGCCGGAGATTGTGTAGTACATAAGCACATTATAGAGAGGGACAGAGCGAAACCGATCTGTGTGAATAACTCCCTATAGTGCAGCTCAACCAGAAGAGCTGTAACATACTAGACTGCTAGTAATTTAGCCTGCAAGGCGGGAACTTCCAGATTGTAAAATCTGACAAAGGTGGAGGGGGAAGCCCTTCCCGCTGCCACACAAATGTCCTGAATGGAAATTCCGCTGGACCATGCCCACGATGAGGCCATGCCTCTAGTAGAATGAGCCCTGATGCCCAGAGGGCATGGCAGGTCTTTTGATGCGTATGCGGCTGCAATGGCATCAACTATCCATTTGGATAGAGTCTGTTTCGAGGCGGCCAACCCCTTGGTGTGCCCACCGAACGAAACAAAAAGCTGCTCGGGTCGTCTAACCGGAGCAGTGCGAGTAATGTAGAATCTCAGGGCCCTGACCGGACACAGGAGATTAGAGTCAGATTCGCTATCGGATGCAGGCAGAGCTGATAGGGAAATAACATGTGCCCTGAACGGGGTACCAATCTTTTTTGGGACATAACCATGTCTAGGTTTGAGAACGACTAAGGAGTCATTGGGCCCAAACTCGAGACAGGAAGCGTTAATGGACAGCACGTGAAGGTTTCCCACACGTTTTACTAACGCGCGCGAGCAGAAAAACGGTTTAGAGCGAAAGGTATTTGAGGTCCACAGTGTTTAGCGGTTCGAATGGGGGGGCTTTCATATCTTCGAGAACTATGGAAAGGTCCCAAATCGGCACCGAAGGGGGGCGTGGGGGGTTCATCCTTCTAGCTCCCCTGAGGAAGCGGATGACCAAGCCATCTTGCCCAGTGACTGGCCGCGCCGGGGTTCAACGAACGCTGCGACGGCTGCCACATAGTGTGAGCCACAAATGTCTTTCAGACACACAAATGGCGGCCATGCATTTCCCCAGGGCTTGAGCAGCAGATTTTGTAGCGCGAAGGGCAATGTCCGTGGCGCTCCTCAAATCCGCGACTGAGGGGGGATTTTTTTTTTTCATTCACGAAGTAAATCACCCTGTAGTATCTGAAGAACAGACATGGAGTGAAGTACAGAGGCTGCTTGGCCGGCGGCTGAGTAAGCGCGGGCGTGAAAGCTTGAAGTCGCTCTGCAGGCTTTAGAGGGAAGCACAGGTGATGAGCGCCATCTCGTGGAAGGCGGGCATAAATGTGCGGCGACCAGGTCCTCTACAGGGTGAATGGAGAGATAGCCCTTTTCTGCGGCTCCGTCCACAACGCGAAGCGGGGCGGAGGAGTCAGAGCGAGTTCTAGCAGAGAGCGGGGCATTCCAGGACTTCGTGAGTTCCGCGTGCAGTTCAGGCAGGAAGGGCGCGGCCCGTTTAGTGACGGGAGTCGAGCGCTGGCAGAAGTAGCTGCCGTCCATACGGTTGATGGTCTGCTCGGGGGGAGGGGACCAATCGAGCCCGAGGCATTCGACGGCCTGTGAGAGGAGGCGCACTAATTCCTCCTCGATTCCAGCGCGGGTCCCAGAGGATTCTCGGGCCGAGGAGGCGTGAGAACCGGACCATTCCTCACTGTCTGAAGCGAGAAGCGAACAGGTTTCCTTGATGTCCGCGGCGCCATCGGACGCGACAGAGCGGCCACTCGGCAGCAACTGTATGTCCAGAAGCGGCGGAGAAGGAGAGCGGGAGGCGACAGGCTCCGGCGGGATGAACGCTTCTAGCTGGGGTTCCGGCGGCCTCTGAGAGCGGCGTTTCTTCTTCCGCGGCGAAGTCAGAGGCGGCGCGGAAGCAACTTTAGTGGCCTGAAGTCGAGCCCGCAGGGTCGACAACGGCATGTCTTCGCAGAGATCGCAGCCGCCATCGGCGAGGGCGAGCTCGGCGTGCTCCAATCCGAGGCAGAGAGCGCAGATGACATGGCGGTCTCCAGTCTCGAGGGGAGCGCGGCATGAACCGCAGGAGGATTTACGAGACATCTTTAAAAAGACGCTCGGCTCTTTTAGATACAAATAAATACAGGAAGCTTTTTGTAAAAAGGATACAAATCCGTCGGATGGCGCTAGCTCGCAGGACGGCTGAAGGTGGCGAAGACGGCCGGCTTCCTCAGTCTCCCAGATGCTCGCTAGAGTTGCCTTTTCGACGACGGCGGCTTCTCTCAGGATCAGCAGATGCGTGTAGCCTCGCTGAAGAGATGAAAATCAGAGTTTACAGCCTGGGACGCTAATTTATACTCTCTGACCACGCCCGTTTCGGCGGGCTCTGATGCAATGAGAGCATGTCAGACTCTCATTGGCCGAGAGTTCATTCGCGTCTCCTCATAGGCTTAAGCAGTTCTCTGTGAGCGAACCAATGAGCGGCTAGCTAGCCCGCTCATGGTCTGCTGCAGCTGAACTGCATTGACAATGGATACAAAATTATAGGATAATTTTTTGGCTTCAATTTCTCAGAAAAGATGAATCTTTCCCGTAGCGTAAGCTAGCTTAGGCAATACGAGAGAACCTCTCGTAAGAGAACTTCACATTTTAGAGTGGCCTTTTATTGTGGCTAGCCTAAGGCACACCTGTGCAATTATCATGCTGTCTAATCAGCATCTTGATATGCCACACCTGAGAGATGGATGGATTATCTCGGCAAAGGAGAAGTGGTCACTAACACAGATTTAGACAGATTTGTGAACAATATTTGAGAGAAATAGTCCTTTTGTGTACATAGAAAAAGTCTTAGATCTTTGAGTTCAGCTCATGAAAAATGGAGTCAAAAACAAAAGTGTTGCGTTTATAATTTTGTTCAGTGTTTGAACAATGGTGTACATGTTTGAGTGTATCTGCATATTTTTGTGTTTTTCAATCAGTCTATGGTTTCAGATATACAATGTCATTTGCTGGTGAATTCCTGTCAGAGGAGCAGTTTACCTGTTCCATTTGCCTAGATGTCTTCACCAATCCTGTCTCCACACCCTGCGGCCACAGCTTCTGCTCATCATGTATCACTTCCTACTGGGAGGGCCAGGGAAAAAGCTGCTTCTGTCCCTTGTGCAAGGAAAGCTTCCGCAAGCGCCCTGAGCTCCACACCAATCACACTCTCAGGGAGATCACAGAGCAGTTTAAGCGGATGGCAGAGACCACAATGAGCGCACCCAGAAGTGCACCTGCAGATTTACCCACCAACCCTTTCTCTGCAGCGAAGCCTGGGGGGCAGCTCAGACTGGTAGAGCTACCCAGTGGGCTACTGCCAGAGATGAAGAGCCGCTTCCAAAGATCATCATCCAGTGAGCCTTTGGCAATCCCTGATGCTCATTCTCTCCATCCGGCCAAGACAACTAAACGGAACTTAAGTGTGCATGGAGTGAGTGGAGCAGGTTCCAATGGGCCACAGTGTTCCAGACATGGCCATAGTTTGGAGCTGTTCTGCAAGACTGACCAGACATGTATTTGCATAATATGCGCAGAGAGGGAACATAATGGGCATTCTGTGATGGAGGCCAAGAGAGAGATGAATATTAAGAAGGTTAGTGTGAGAAAGTAATATTGAGGTAGGGCTCAGCCTCAGTGTAAATGTTTATAAATGTATGTGTCCTTTTGATCATTTTGTATCTGCTCAGTCCCAGTTGCGTATCTTGGAGGTGGAGCTACAAGGATTGATCTCAGTCAGAGAGAAGAAGATAGAGGAGATCCAAACATCACTTGCAGAAATTCAAGTGTGTGCATCTATGTCATAACGTTTTAAAGGAATAGTTCACCCAAAAATAAAAATTGTGTCATTATTTACTCACCTTCATGTTGTTCCAAACCCATATGCTGTTTTTATCTTATGAAGAGTCTTCACATGACCTTGTCTGTTGAAGTCAGAATGAAGTGGAAGTTGTAATAGTTGCAATTCTTTCCTATTGTGATGTATATCAGAGTTAAACGGTTTCTCGAACAAGAAAAAATGTAGGACGGGACTTGATTTTTTCCATCTTGGAATGATTGGATCATTTGGATCATTGAATGGTTGGGATTTGCTATTGCTGTGATGTCATGTGAGTGACAGGTTGTCCCAAACCAGTAAACATGTCATCAGACAAGAGATTGTCAAGATATTTTGATTAAAGATTATGAGGGCACATGAATTTTAAAATAGAGTAATGATGTGCACGGATAAATCGTTTATAATAAACACTTCAATATTCCATAGAAAAATTATTATTTTTGATTTCATGATGATTTTAAGTTCTACACTCATAGTACAAATGTTGTCACTGGGGCGGTGCCCTTTTAAAAGTTATTAATTGACTGATTTTCACCCACGAAAATTTGCTGAACAAAAGTAAATGTGATTGCCTTCTGAAGCCACGCAAGCTTTGTGATAGGAACAGACCAAAATTTGAGTCGTTTATTCACTGTTTGTTTTTTTAATTACTTTTTTGCACAAACCAATCTGTATTGGTCAAAAGACCAAAATCCTTTTTCTTTTCTTTTTTGTCACTGGAGCTTAACTGTCATGGTCACCATTAACTGTTGCTGTGTGAAAAAGATGTGTGTGAATATTCTTCAAAATATAAAAGTTCCACAGAAGAAAGTCATATGGGTTTAAAGGACAAGAGGGTGAGTAAATGATGATAGAACTTATGTTTGGGTGAACTATGCCTTTAAATATTTTATTTATACTTGAGCATTTCCTTACTCTCATAATTGTCTTTCTTTACATTCTTATCTGCTTTTCTGCTACATTATTTTCTCATCTCATTTACTTGCTATAAGGTGATTGCAGAGGAAGAGAAAGTAGGAACAGTGAGTATGTTTGCTGAGTTGATGAAAGCTGTCGAGAAGTCCCAGGCTGAACTTCTGGAGGTAGTGGAGATGGGACAGCGGGCTGCCGAACTTCGCTCACAGGCCTTCATACGTGAGCTGCAGACGGAGATCTCAGAACTTAAACAAAGATGTAGCAACCTCAACCAGCTAACCCAATCCCAAGATCATCTTACCTTCTTCAAGGTCTCATTTAAATCCAGACTTTAATGTTTTAGTTAATGAAAGTCAATAAATTGTCCCATATATTCACCCTTTATTTAAAGCTTAAATAATTTAACACGTCAAGTCAATTGTGTTGTTCATTTTGTATTTTATACCCCAATATATAACCAATATTTTATTTATTGCTGTTTCTTCTCAGACATATCCAGCCTATAGTAGTTTACCTGTGACAAAGAGCTGGGAAGAAGTGGCCTTGACCCCTGACCCCACTGCAGGGGCAGTGCTGAGGAATGTCACTTGGATGGTGGGGGAGGCTCAGGAAAGGCTCAGGAGCCTGTCAGCGATCTGTAAGAGAAAGTACCTTCCTGAAATGCTTTTTAACATGTACATACATCATACTGTATGCACACGTATTTCACTTTGCACATAATTTATGTGAATAAAATGAGGACATCTTCTTTGATTCAATAGCTCTTCAGATGCTTCACCTCACAAAACATAAATTTTGTTTAAAACCATTGACGTATTAAGAGCATTTTTTTTCTTTGCATGCACATATCACTTTTTTTTCACTCATGTTCATGGTATGTTTTGTTGTACTTTCAGGTTTGCACACTTCCACGGAAAACTCACAGGAAATATATCAACAAAGTAAAAAAAAATTCTTCACTTTTTTGATAGTTTTTCCTCATCCACTTTTTCCTCATTCAAAGCCAGGGTTAATGTCTACAACTAATCTAGTTTATACTTTAAACTTAAAAACATTATGTACTACGAATATTGTTGGATCTTATGACAAATTATTTGTAGGTAAAAGTATCTACTAAAGGAATAAATGTATGTGTAAATGCAGTGCATCCTCCCCAAGACTATGATAAAATATTTAAGGTTTTAAAAGATTAGTTCAATCCAGAATTAAAATATCCTGATAATTTACTCACGGCCATGTCATCCAAGATGTTCATGTCTCTCTCTCTTCGGTTCGGTCGAAAAGAAATTAAGGTTTTTGAGGCAAACATTCCAGGATTTTTCTCCATATAGTGGACTTCAATGGGACCAACGAGTTGAAGGCAGTTTTCAGTTTTCAGAGTCGAATTGCCGTTTCAATGCAGCTTTAAAGGGCTCTACATGATCCCAACCGAGGAATGAGGCTTATCTAGCGAAACGATCGGTCATTTAAAAAATATGTACATTTATATTAAATTAATATACTTTTTAACCACAAACACTTGTCTTGCACTAGCTCTGCGAATCTGCGATGCGCGTCCACGATTTCATGCATTATGTAATCATGTTGGAAAGGTTACGCGTGACGTAGGCGGAAGTACCGACCCAGTGTAGGTTACACGTGACGTAGGCGGAAGTACCGACCCAGTGTTTACAAGTGTGGAGAAGGAGGTTTTTCCAACTTCAAAATCATCCGACATTGTTGTTGTACCTTCTTTTTGTAAAGGGCGTTTGATTTAGCCTTCGCACGTTCACTTTGTAAACACTGGGTCGGTACTTCCGCCTACGTCACGCTTGACCTTTCCAACGTGATTACGTAATGTGTGGCGCATCACAGCTAGTGCAAGATGAGCATTTGTGGTTAAAAAGCATATGATTATTTATTTATTTTAGAAAATGACCAATCGTTTCGCTAGATAAGACCCTTATTCTTCTTTTGGGTTTGTGTAGAGCCCTTTGAAGCGGCAATTTGGACCTTCAACCCGTTGGTCCCCGTTGAAGTCCACTATATGGAGAAAAATCCTGGAATGTTTTCCTCAAAAACCTTACTTTATCAGGAACTTTTAATTCTGGAGAGAACTAATCCTTTAACTTCTCATACCTTCACATAAAACACTGCGTTTTCTTTTGACAGAATCAGAGGAAATCTTACTTCTTACTAGTTAGTATAATCAATGTTGAAGATAGTTATTGCTGCTTAATATTTTTGTGGAAAGCGTGATATTTTTTCCAGGACTCTTTGATATATTGATTGTTCAAAAGAACTACATATATATTTAAAATACTTTTTTAAATGGTAGTTTCTTTTGAAAGGTAGTGCATAATGGTTTCAACTAAAATATTAAGCAGCACATTTATAATAATAAGACATTTTTCTTAAGCAGCAAATCATCATATTAGAATAATTTCTGAAGGATCATGTGACACTGAAGACTGGAGTAATGATGCTGAAAGTTCAGCTTTGCATTTGCACAGGAATTAATTACATTTTAAAATATATTCAAATAAAGGAAGCCTTGGTGAATATAAAAGACTTCTTTCAAAACTATTAAAAATTCTTATTATTCCAAACTTTAGTAGTGTATTAGGGTGGCTCTGTAGTAAGTCTTGTACAAAGCCACTTAATTCTGCAATGTTTTATTTTAAATTAATATTTTTCTTCTGCTTTTCTCTAACTGTAGAAGTGTGGAGAGTGCCGGAATATGCAAGTATGAGATCATTTTTATTCTCTGCACACCATAAGATACTCAAAAAAAATCTGTCCCCACTTTGATTTGTTTTCCTGCAATCATTGTGTTTTCAACTCGTCTGTTTCTCTGCTCAGTGGACGTGACCTTAGATCGAGACTCAGCCCATCCACGTCTGATCATCTCTGAGGATGGTAAACAGGTGCGTTGCAGTGACCGCTACCAGATGGTGCCAGACACACTAGAACGGTTTGACCGTGTGGTGTGTGTACTTGGCCGTCAAGGTATCAGCTCTGGCTGCCAATACTGGGAGGTCTTGGTGGGTGAGAAGACGGACTGGGATTTGGGCATTGCCAGCCGCTCTATCAACAGGAAAGGAAAAATAGCCGCAAACCCAGCTAATGGATTTTGGTTCCTAAGTCTACGTGACAAGAATGAATATGTCTTTCGCACAGAACCACCAACGCCTATAAACATAAACCCAAAACCGCAGAGTGTCGGCGTGTATGTGGACTATGAGAAAGGTCAATTGTCCTTTTATAATGCAGAGACAAAGTCACTGATATTTTCCCTCACAGACTCCTTTACAGAGACTTTATATCCTTTCTTCAGCCCATGCACCAACAAATCTGGCAAAAATGAGGCACCCCTTATCATATGGCCTGCCTATCCAGCTGACCCAAGCTGGCTGACTGAAAAATGAATGGGATGGAAACAAAGAAATATATCTCACAGGTTATTTACTTATTTACTTTAGTTGTTTAATTCAAATCCTAATTATAAAAAAAATATTATGGTTTTAATTTTCAATCCATGTGATCATATTAATTGCTTTATATATATATATATATATATATATATATATATATATATATATATATATATATATATATATATATATATATATATATATATAATTTAACAAAACATTAAACAGTTCATCTTATGTACCTAGTAAGATTGCCAAGGTTAATACACTTAATACAACATTGGTTGGTGAGTTATGATTGCAAAATAACCTCCCTTTTAATTTGTATTTAACCAAGCGTAAAAATGTATAATGTTAAAATATGTGTTTTGTACGCTACAATAAAACAAAAATAAATGTGAATCTGTATACAGTATAGGTGACTGCATCTCTCTTGTATTTTTGGGTTGCCTTTACTCTGTGTACAGTACAGGATTTTTTGCAAGGCATGGGGCTTTATGTTTTACAATAGTTTCTAATAATAATAATAATAATAATAAACAATAATTTAGCCTTTCATCAACAATTCACTATTATTTTTTGTAAAAACCAACGTTATAATATTTTATTTAAAAGCAACTTCTCTGTTGGCTTAGCCATCTCTGTTGGCTTAGCCATCTTGATATCTTGCATTCTCGTTAAAGGGTTAGTTCACCCAAAAATTCTGTCATTAATTACTGACCCATATGTTGTTCCAAACCCGTTCGTGTAGCTATTTTCAAGCCCCAGAAAGGTAGTAAAGACATCATTAAAGTAATCCATGTCAACCCAGTGGTTTAACTTTAAATTTTATAGAGTGCTTTGTTTGAGCAAAAAGCAACTACAACATAATTTACCGTTTTATTTACAAAATATTAATCTCCAAAACAACTTCACGCAACAATGTCTGCTCTCGCGTCAACACAACACGCATGTTTCGTTGTGCTCTCGTGAACGCGAGTTGGAGATTAATATTTTGCAAATATTTTTCGCAAACAGCACTTGCATATAGCTTCATAAAACTGTGACTGAAGTCACATGGATTAATTTTATGATGTCTTTGCTACCAATCTGGGGCTTGAAAGTGGTAGTTGTTTAGGCTGTCAATGGAGAGACAGAAAACTCTCAGGCCCTGTTTAGTGTTGACACCTGTTATTAACCCTCTACTGCATGCATTTTGATGGCACATGGGAAAAAATTATTTCACATCATTTCTTGGCTCATTTGGGAACATTTTATTGATTTATTGAAAATTTTCCCTGCCCTGACCAGCGGGTTGAATTCAGGTGTTCCAATCACTTCCATGGCCACAGTTGTATAAAATAAAGCAGCTACTGTAGGCAGTCGATTCAACAAATATCTGTGAAAGAATGGGTCGCTCTCAGGAGCTCAGTGAATTCAAGCATGGTACTGTGGTAGGTTGCCACCTGTGAAATTTCCTCACTACTAAATATTCCACGGTCAACTGTTAGTGGTATTATAACAAAGTGGAAGCAATTGGGAACAACAGCAACTCAGGCATGAAAAATCCCAGAGCGGGGTCAGCCCATGCTGAGGTGCACACAGAAGTCGCCAACTTTCTGCAGAGTCAATAGCTACTGTAAGGGGTATACAGTCAAAGACCCAGAACCAGATATGAAGAATGAAGACCCGGAGTCAGAATTATAAAAAATTTAAGAAAAGTTTTACTGAAGATAGTTTGCATTTTCATCAGCAGAAGTCAGCTTCAAGACTCACACAGGAGTTCGTAGGCCGCCCCACTTACAGTTACAAAGATCACAGCAGTTATACCATTTCCAAGGTCTAAGCTACGTCATTGCTTACAGGTTGAATGATTCTCATTGGCTAAGAAACATTAAGAGCCTAAACAATTTAACACATGTGAGGAGATAGGGGTGCCTATCGCCATTAGTTAAGATAGTTGTCGTCCACTCATTAGATTTAGGTCTGTGGTGGCCTCGCAGGTTAGAGAAGGGCGCCGGGGTGTCTGGTCCGAACGTCCAGAACCTACATAGAATGTCATACGCACACACACACAAATAACAGACACTAGCAAATAACAGCTCCCATCAAGGCACGGATGGCTGAAAGCAGCGAAGACGGCCGGCTTCTCCAGACGCTTCCTAAGCTTGCTGGTCGCTTGCATCGACGGCGGCAGCTTCTCAAGATCCAGCCATGCGAAGAGTTTCGCTGAAGAGATGAAAATCAGAGCTCAGCCTGTTGAGCCCCTCTTTTATATACGCTAGCCACTCTCATTCTGGTGGGCTGTGATGCGTAGAGGGCGCGACATTACGCAGGGCTCACCGATAGGCTGCTGCAGTTGCTGCAGAACAGCCAATGAGCACGCTTATACAGTCTGCTATGGTCTGCTGTCCGCCGCACTTCGTTGACAATAAATATAAAATTAAGGATAATTTTTTGGCTTCAGATCTCGAGAAAAGATGACTTTACCCGTAGCGTAAGCAACTTACGCAATACGAGAACCTCTCGTAAGAGAACCCATACATTTACCCGCCCATATACCCTCCCCTCAAATGAAATCAGACAGAAGTGGTTGAATGGGGACAAAAGATACAGATTAAAAAAACACCAGATGTAAACGGGAATGTGTCTGTCTTGTCTACTTGTGATCCGATATCGACCAAAACGCATCATAACTCACCAGCTATAAGGGCATCAGATTTGCGCAGACCGAAGCGCCCGCGCCCTCAGATCACTTGGACGTGGCTGTGGTTACAAGAGGTAAAAACGATATAAATACTGTTCGTTTTCTCACACAAACCGCTTGTTTCGTGTCTTAGGCCATCAATGTGTACTTACATTTACGAGTCATTAAATCATGTTTAATTTGGACTTCTCTGTGCATGCTCTTTGAGGTGGTGACCATAGACCTGCATTATATGACTGACAGACAAGAACGGTGTGACCTAAAAATATCAAAATTGAAACTACTGCGGAAACTAAGACACCTACATCTTGGATGCTCTTGAGGTAAGCTAAAACATACCAAAAATTTATTTCAAAGTGAACTATCCCTTTAAGATCTTCATTTGTGTTCCGAAGATGAACGAAAGTCTTACGAAATTTTGGGTAAACTAAAGCTGCAACAGCATATTTATTTTCATATATTGCATCTTTGATTATGGGTGACCATTGATTGTGTCTCATTCTATTATTGTTAGGCATCCAAACAATTTTTTTTAAATAATTGTAAAATTGTGCATTTGGAGTGCTGGGTGTCAGGACACTGATAGGGCTCTAGGCTTGAACTTCAATCCATGGTTGCTCCGCTATTCTTGACAGCAAATTTCGAAATGAGAGAGGAAGGAGCTAGATGGTAACCATCAGTAACCAATGGCTGCAGCTCCTTTCTTGAGAGCGCGCGCAGCGTCAGACCTGCTGCACTTGTTCGAGGGGACTGATGGCACAGCGCGTCAGGCAACGCCACAAACCTGCTCCTACTGTACATTCAAGATAGGTAAGTTTGATTTCCAGTGCATTTCCGGTCAGTATTATTTTGATATTCAACTATGTGTATTTATGCGCATACTGTTTAAAGCCCCATTGCAGAATTTCATTTTTTTTTTAAGTGGGACCTAATAAAGTCGGTCTGTTATTGAATACTTCTGTAATAAACTGCCGTGTAATCTTGAGAAGACGTTTCCCCAGGTTTATTTATAATTCTGTTCAAGTCTATAACATAAGATATGATAGACAAAACATGCATTTTCGCTAAACCAATTAGGCTATTATTTTAATGTCGAGTTGTTGTTTTACAGTGAGTGCCATACGGGACACTGGCACGCGACGCTCAGTGTTTTCCCATTTTTACACAGAACATAACATGCTGCACTTTAATAAATTATGAACGATGCCTTGTCGTCGGGCGCTGCCTTCGAAGGTTTTGTTTATCCTCTAAAGCCAGGTTCCTCGGGGACGCCCCATATTCAAAATCGACATGTCTATAATTTGCATCGCCCATCTCACCGATTTCAGAGCGATTAATGTTGCATAAGCAGCTTTTTTCTTACCGTCATATTTGACGTGATTTTGCAGGGGTGGTTTGGAAGAATGGCTGGGAATAAGTCAGTCGGGATGAGAGCGCTATCATAAGCCTCTTTTAGTTTGAATGTGAGTGTCATTCTCTGAAATAACCTTGACTGAACTGGTGTAATATCCCCGATTAAGCCAAAGATTTTCATGATAAATTGCTGTTGGGACACTATAATCAGGATGGGTTTTGAATCCAATCTGCGTGCCGTGCATGATCTGCAGGGAAACAATCAGGGACAGCTTTACCTCTGCAGGTTTGTACACAGAGTTCTACATACATTATTTATGGCACATAAACAGAGATTACAATGGGCAATGATGTGATTACGAGATTCTATAAATTTGCCAAAACGTTTTGTTAGGGAGCACACACTATTAAAAGTTTTTCACTTACGAACAGCAGTTTTGTGAAGTATCTTTTATTTTAATCATGGGCGTTGCCATGCTGAGATCATGTGACCAGCTATGCTATATCATACAATTGTTACGTAAATAATAATAATAATAGTGTGTAGTAATAATAATTCTTACTTTATATAACTTTTTATATATATTTTTTATATAGGCTACGTTTTTTATATAGCCTACCTTTTTCATGCTGCAGATTGTTGGGAATATATCCAATAATGTCTATTATATGGATAAGAATATGAGATTTTCATATATAGTTGACATAGTTGAAAATAATTAAAAGAAAACAGCTTTCGTATGAAACATTAGAAGTAACGAAAAAAACATGCACCCATGCCGATTGATGTCAAGTCTAAAACTGACTTGGGGGCAAATGAAGCAGAATAGCCCATTTTTAAAATTCTCCCTCCATAAGATACAACATAAAATGTTAAATGTTGTTACATTTTAAAATGCATGTTGGTTATATTCCCAACTTCTAAATTATTAATTGTGCATCCCACGAGCTGTCTTGATTTGCATTTCATTGACTTTGCAGCAAAGTCCCACTGGGTTGAAAACCACAGGATGGAGGTCCCCCACAACTGTAATGCTTTATCATCATCATTAGTTCTCAGTAAACTGAGCTTAATAAGGCGAATCATCCGAGTAATCTTTCATGAGGCCTGTTATCAGGCCTGCCAATTATTATTATATTATATAACCACTTTGACATGAGAATAAAATGAGCCAAACATGATGAGAATAATATATATATATATATATATATATAAATAATATAAAATCAATATGAATTATTTATATACAGTAAACGAGATTAAAATACAATAAACGAGTTAGGTCAAACGTAATCTAAAAATAGTCAGTGTAATGGGTTGCGGAGACAGAATCCAAATACATGCACGACTTTAATAACAAAAGGATAAAACACAGATAATCACAACTAGAAAGTGATAAAAATAGTCCACACGAGATACCAGGAACATCCAACCCATAACACAAATACGATCCAACAACGACTAGCAAAACACAACTGAAAGGCACAAGCTTAAATACACAGAGAAATCAGTGAGACAGGTGTAACTAATGACGGTAACTATAGAAACTATAACACGAAAACAAGGAGAAACAGAAACCAAACACAAGAAGGGAGTACAGAAATGATGAGAACAGTGAATACTTATTCTACATAAAAGTCCATACAAAACAAAAGGCACGGGATCTTGACAGTCAGATTATATTACCTTAAATGTGTAATGTAATAGATTAAGTTCCTAACAAAAATGTTTGTCGTGTAATTTTGAATAAATAATGACTGCCATTTGTAAATATAATCTAATCTACTGAGCACTGTATATATACAGTATATATATATATATATATATATACACACACACACACACACACACACACACACACACTTATACTGTATACACGCACATATATGTAAGGGATAATCCATGGCTGCATTAAATGATTTTAAAAAACAAAATGGAGCCAAAGAACCGCCCGACACGAAGTGCATTCAAATCGTTTAATGCACAGCTAGCTGTGGATTATCCTGCTTATACCATGGTCATTTGGCAACATTGACAACTTAAAGCTGTTATTGCTGTTATTGTTATTTACCCAGAAGGCTAAAATGAATGGTTATTTTCGTCAGTTATACGGCTCATTAGATCTAGCATTCTGCCTACAACTAATTTTGTATATTTTAGTTGTAATTAAATTGTAGTAAAGCATAACTTTAAGTGTATTTAGTATACTTTTGTGTACTAAATTGGAACAACTTCAAGTATACTTAGTATACTTTAAGTATATGCCTGTGTACTAGGGACTAACTGCATGCTTGATTAGTGATATTAAGGTGTACTTTATTTGTGTTACAAGTACATTACAAATTCATTACGAGTGTCTTCGAAACATACAAGCAGTATACCATAAGTGTATTTATATATACATTTTATTTTTAAAATAATTATTTTTGCCATTTTCGTCTGTTATTAGGATAGGACAGTAGGAAGTGAGTTGGGAGAGAGAGAGATAAGGGACAGGATCAGGAAAGGTCCACGAACCGGGACTCGAATTAAGTTCTCCCGAAGCACATGCCGGCGCTACATGTCAGCGCACTTGCCCATGAGGCTATCATGGTGTAATATATTTGAGTAAAAAGTAAAAATACCTTTGGCTTATTCCAAATACTACAAATTGCATACTTTGTTTTCAATAACAAAGGTACATTATTAGACAAATAAAACTTAGCTATACTTTGTACAAAACACTATTGTATACTATAATGTATTTTGAAATTATTTTCAATGCATTCTTACAATTTCCAGCACACAGTTAAAATATACCTAAAATATATTTTTAATAAAGTGCAAATAAATACACTTTTAAAAAATAAACAGAATTTTCACTTCAAGTATATTTTTCTAAAATATACTAAAGTACAATTATTTTAAAGTGTGTTAAAAGTTGTATTGTGAAAATAGGTAAAAGCATGATGCTAATATACTTTTAATAATTTTTGTTAGGATATTTGCAATGTTGAAAAAGGTAATATATTGCAAATACAATAAAGTATCCTTTTTTTCACTAGGGTTTTATGAGTTTAATAAAGAACTCTGTCTCGTCTTCTGTCCAAACATACCGTCATCTTTAAAGAATGATCGACGTACGGTGACCTATGAATGTGAAAATACTGTTACCATTGCAGTTTTGCGAAATTACCTGAAAAATTGCCGACATATGGGAGTTTTTGCTAATTTGCTAGTTTTCATTGGACGTATTTTCAAGTCGCAGTTTCAATTAGATTCACATGCGTCTTCTGTTCCTCTGCAGGGTTCGTTCTCTGTGAGTCAATGTCTGTTATCTGGAGATGAAATCACATTGATGCCAATAACCATCCCTGGATTTCCCTGGCCTTATGTCGACATGGCAACAGGAAGGAAAAGTCAGTGTCTTTTCTGTGTTCCTAATGTGTGTGTGTGTGTGTGTGTGTGTGTGTGTGTGTGTGTGTGTGTGTGTGTGTGTGTGTGCGTGTGTAAATAATGAACATGCATGGACATTAAAATGTGCTTAATATATTTATAGAGTCTACTTTCTCATCGTCTCTAACACGTTCAGAGTGTGTTTGTTCTAACAGCTCCCCCACACCGGGTGCAGCCTGTATTAATCATCTCAGCATGTATCTTCTGGTCCAGTATCCATCTCTGTGATCTTAACTCAACCCTTGCTTTCTCTTTTGACCAGGCTCCACTTCAAAAGGTGGAGTACATTTCCCTGATGATGACGAAGACGCTTCCATTAACAATAGCTGTGATGGAAAGCTTCAGGATAAACTCATTGTTGCTCTACCTGAGCCTGATGGTGCATATCTCGTTAAGGTGAAAGAAAGCATTTGCTCCAGGTTTGAGTTATAAAAACCTTAAAAAAATAAACAAGCAAAGAAAAAAGATATATATATTTCAATAACATTTTATTATCTCAAAAAATAGCATTGCTAGTATAAGATGTGTTGCATGCTGAAATCGCTGACTGCTTAACTCTTTATTCAGGTGGGATTTTTAAGGAGCCATCACAAATATGAAATCGTCTTTTCTTTGCCCCAAGTCCCAACACTGGGCAAAGATGTCACCCTCTCCCCTGCGCTTCGTGCTACGGCAAAACCACGGCTACGTGCAACACACATCACTCCACGCCCTGAGGGTATGTGTTTTTGTGGTGGTTTTAAACCAGCTTTTATTATATCACTTATCAAAGGCTGCTTACCACTCTTGTGTGTTCATATATTCACATTAACCCTATTAAGAGGTGTTGAGCAGTTAAACAGAGGCTTTTCGACTGAAGCTACTTACAGTAGCCTTATTACATACAGAGTCCCACCGGAGCAACCTGGGTTAAGTGCCTTGCTCAGGGGCATAATATTAATGAACAATACTTGTGATTTTGAAACTGCCTCAGTCTTGCTTGGGATTAAATAAGCAACCTTTGTTAAAACTGTCCAGATTCTTAACCATTCACAATGAAATCACAATGAAATCGCGTCAAAACAGTGGAGCGATTCACACCACAAGCGCTCAGGGTCTTTTACGGTAATGATCGTTCAGCACTTATTACAATAATTATATCCTATAATATTTGTATCTAGAGCCAAACGCGCTTCATTCAAGCCCTTTCCACTTCGCGCGTGTTTCTTCTGTCTCTCACTAAAGATGTAAAGTGACACATCAACACCGTGTCCTAACTACACACGATGCGCGATAAAAGGTATCTTTTCCATGTTAAGGCCCTTGCATACTGAGTCCGAAATTTTCGTATGTGTTTTTTCATATTCGTGATTCGGTGGCTCTGAATTGTCAAAACACCATTCAAACTGCTTGCTACGGATGCGATCAAACCCGATCCGATTTTTTTTATGATGGACGAAAGTTTCGGAGGCAGTGTGCAAGTGTGATTGGCATTTATCTTTTTTACCTGCGAATTTTGGACTCCGTGTACAAGGGCCTTTAATCAGTTTAACCAGCCACGAAGGCGATAAGCGACAATTCTATTTTAGAAAAGGTTTCTATTTTTCTGCAACGTCGCGGCTGGAACAACAAACCCAAAGTGTGGCAATGATAATCTCAGGTACTGTTTATGTGCTTTATTTAATGTTAAAAGCATGCAATGTGAATATCATTTAGTACTCCCAGCTTTGTAGCTGTAAAAGCAACAATGGTAGCCAAGGCTAATTCACCTCAGATCTTGAAATTAAACAAATGGAAACAAGAACGTTCAAACTGTGAACAAACAAGTGTATTCTTTGACAAAGATTGTTTTAGTAACACAGTAGCCTATGTATTTTTAATAATGTTTAAATAGTGTAGCCTAATATTTGTGAATTTGATTACGTAGCTTACTTATCCATTTTCTTGCGATTGCCGTCAAGATTACTCTCTGGTGCTGTGCACTAACCTGCGAGACTCCGCCCACACGCTGTTCTGATTGGCTGTGGGTCTTTCTTGATTGATTTCAACGCATCTCGCAGTCGCGTCGCGTCTAGTGTGTGGACAGACAAATTATTTTGTCGCTGGAATCTTATCACATCGCGTCTGCTGGAGGGTGTTCCTGCACAACCGGAGGCTGCAGTTCAGGACCCCAGTTCTAGGACCGCAGTTTTAACTAGTTTTAACCAGTTCTAACTAGTTTTCTGTGACAGCGCCACCTACCGAAATGGATCACCAAAAACACTCATTTAACCCCTTTCGCGGCAAAGATCACAGACGGCCCCAGATTGTTGTTGTTCAACATTCATTACTCGATAAAACATCACACTCTAACTTATTTGATCTAGACAAACTGAGCATCATTAGAAAGATTTAAGACTCCAGCTTCGATAGTTGACCACTGTTTATGATAAAACTGGTTTGCAGTGACATTCATTTCTTAATTTATGACAGGAGTGCAAAATTATTAATCTGCAACGTTTGTTATTTTGAATAGAAATCATCACTCATAAAGCAGTCATTCACGTCTTCTCCGGTTTATTTGTGTTCACATACATGCAATATAGAGCATCCGCCAGGGCTCTTAGTCCAATGGTGCGCATATTTGGAGAAATAATGATTTATCATCACATGTTTGTAAAATATTTTGTCATACAGAATAACATTTCTATTCATTTTCCACTGAATTATGCGATCATCAGCGAGATCTGTGTCTCCTCTTCCTGATTTGCGTCAGTTATGATCTCAGCGCTCTTTCATTCGCTGTACAGCTGTCAATCATCTCACGTGGTTCAACGTGACCATAATCCTGCCCTTCTGCATGACGCGCTCCTGTGTACACTTCCTCATTCTGACCTCTGTGATAACAAAGCTGAGACATCTCTTCACCTGAAACAAGAAGCTAATAAATGCACAATTTCGAGTATATTTCGATATACTCGAAATATACTTTTTGTGTGATTTTGTGTGTGATTTTCATGCGATTTGGAGTATTTTCATATGAATGTTTACAGTATTGCTAAGCAAGGCGTAGCCATTAGCTGCATATAACGTTAAAATGCTAAAATATAAAGTATTTCAACATCTTTTTTTTGACTTAAAACCATTTTAAACCGTGACCGGAATAAGATACAAATACTCAATGGTGGTTTAAAGTGAGCTTTAAGTAAAAGTGTAATATTAATCTTTTAAATTGTGTCATGTAGCTTGATGCTACTTGCTCTAATCCACCTGCTGCAGGAGCTTTTCTATTCCATAATCTTATTTTTTAAAATATATATATATTTTTTTTAACAAGACCTTGATCTTGATACTATGTACAAACTAAACCACCTGGATCCTAGAACTGCGGGCCTGAAACTGCAGCCGCCGCTATATCATCCAGTTCGGTAGGTGGCGCTGTCGCAAAAAAACTAGGGTCCTGGAACTGCGGTCCTAGAACCGGGGTCCTGAAACTGCAGCCTCCGATTGTGCAGGAACATACTACTGGTCTGGTTAGGACACGGTGTAAGAGCTGCAGATGACATGGTTATTTTAACAACAGTAGCCTACAGAAACACGATGAGCAGCAAAATAGATTTTTTTTGCAAAAACGCTGCAGATCCCACCGTTTAACTAAACCAGGTTTGTGACAAGTTTCTTTAGACGTTTAGTTTTTCCCCCCCATACATTTATCATTATTTAATCAGCATATTAAGAGCATTGCATAATAAACAATGTTGTTATTTGTAAGTTGGCTAGGGACGACCAAAAACCTTAAATGACTTGTTAACTTTGTTTTGTGCTTACGAGGAGAGTTTTGATTACGAGGAGATGTATACATTGTTTGTTTTTAGTAGTTTATTACTTTGAGCAAAATATAAAAATGGTCCATACTTTTCTTAAGAGGTAAACCCTGCACCCCCAGTATGTTTTCTCAGTCCCAAGGCCGCCATGTAGGTGTCTAAATATGTAGTGGTCTACTGTGCAAAAGTCTTAGGCACGTTAGTATTTTCACACACAAGAAACTAACACACAAATGGGTTTAAGACAATTATTTATATATTTTGATGTAGTGTTTGCTGTATGAGCCTGATGACAGCTGGTATGATCTCACCATCATCGAGTCTGTCTGGGATTACATGAAGATACAGAAGAAACTGAGAGAGATTAAATCCAGAAGAACTGTGGCAACGTCTCAAAGACTTGAAGAAATCTGCCTGCAAAACTACCTTAAAAACTATGCGCAAGGGTACCTGGAAAAAAAGCTGTTTTAAAAGCAAAGGGTCACACCAAATATTGATTTGATTTAGTTAATAGAAGTTAATTAATAATTCAAATCTATTTATGACATTATTTTTGAAAACATCCTCACTTTAAAGCATTTTTACACAATGCTGAAAACTTTTCACGGTACTGTAGCTTTGCAGGCTTCTTCAAGCATATTGGAGACTTTGCTACAGTTCTTCTGGATTTAGTCTGTCTCTGTTTTTTCAGTTTCTTCATGTACTTTCAGACTCCCTGTGCATTCAGAAATCTCACTGGATTATTACAATTAATGGCAAAAGAAATATTTGGAAATGTAAACTGATATTTCCTACTGACAGTACAGCAAAATATATAAATAACTGGCTTAAAACTATTTTTTTTTTGGTGAAAATGCTAATGTGCCTGAGCCTTTTGCACAGCACTATATATATATAGTGTGCAAAAGGCTTAATTATTCCAAACTTTTGACCAGTAGTGTAAGCAGCACTATCAGAGCAGTTAATGTGGATGAAAGATTGTTTGTATCCCTGACAGGTAATAGAACATCAAGCCAAATGTTAGACGTCATGTTACGATCAATAGCCACACTCCTATTTCAATCCGTCATCATACTCTCCATTAGCTGAAACACACTTAGCGTGTTTAGTGGTTTCATTTTTCCCATAGTTGAATCTCTAGTGAAGTCTTAGAAGGATATCCGAGAATACAATTTACATTCTAAAAGAAGATGCAAGCACTCTGCACTCAGATGATTTTTTCTCTACAATGATTTCGATCCTCAATCTTACGCTGGTCACTGATACTTTTACTTTCACCTATCTTTTTTTTTGTCCCTGTTATTTTGTGATGTCTTTGTACCCCTCTCTATCTGTATCCATCCCACCCATTGGCTTCCATCTTTCTCTGCTATTTTAAGGGGGAGTGCGGGTGGTTTGTGAGTACATCGCTCAGCAGGAGGGAGTTGTGCAGGAGGAACTCACCCTGGTCAACAGGAGCAGAAGGGACAGCAGCATTCGAGTTAGATTACAGGCCAGGGTTATGGGTGAGATACACTCTCTACACACACCAACTGCTGACAGATCTCTAGTCGTTCATAACAGAGGGTTCATGAGGTGAAGTGAAGTGTGTCGTTTTTGGACCAGTAGCTTTCTCTGAATATTAAGCTGGGATAAGAAATTGTAAAAAAAAAAAGAAAAAGAAAAAAGAAATGAAATGACAATAATGCTGGTAACACTTTACAATTAGGTTTAATTTGTAACCATTAGTTAATTCATTAAAGTTTCCCTATTTTAAAGTTCCTACAATTGGTTTACATGCATCCAAGGTTAATAAAAACACTGATTTTCTTATAATATACATTGCAGCATCACCCTATTCTCACAGTGTCTGAAATGGTTCATCAAGAATCTGGTCTCTTTAAACCCCTCCTTTCCAAGAGTCTACTCTGCTCTGATTGGTCAGATGACCCAGTCTGTTGTGATTGGTCTACTGCTTACAGTGCATGTCGGAACGAAACATCCATTACCATATCTTAATTTCAGCTCTGGAAGCTTCCTCAGCGCTTGATACACACACAGTGAGACGAACAGTAAAGATGGCATCGGTTTCAATTCAAGCCCGATTCCTCATCCTTTGGAAGTGCATGCAAAGTGGATTTCCAGGCATGTCGACAATACGAACCAAACTCTACCAGGCCTCGGCTTCAACTACAGTGTTTGAGGGCAGGTCAAAGGAGATGTTGTTCGCGGGCAGTCAATGAAGACCATTGGCAGGCATTATGCAAATTTGTTACAAACCTTTATAGGTTGCAGGAAGCAAGACTGAAATTACTGATGAATCCTTTCAGGCCATTTGTTGTGATCTTTGAAACTCTGTAGACCTTTTACATTCACAAACAGCTAAATTACACTACATAAAAGGTAATATCCAAAAAAGCAGTTTAATTAACATGACCTAACAATGAGCAATATATGAATAAATAAGATTAATAAATGTATTTTAATAAAAGTATTATTAATTGTTATTTTATTTAAACTATTATAGTTAGCTTACGCTAACAAATGTAACCTTATTATAAAGTGTTGCCAAAATATTATTCACATCACCTGTCACAAATGTAAGCCAAAACTCTAAACTTTCTAGTCTACTTGGGAAACAATACCAGAATTGGTTATATGACTATGTTTGGTAATATTTTGTAGAATGGATTCTGAATTAGATTTTTATTAAAAAAGCCCCAAATGGCTCAATTTGATTATTAAGAAACATGGTGAGAGTTAATTTGTAAATGGAAAAATGTCCCTCCACTAAAATAATAAACCACCTATTGTCTTTCACAGAGCGCCACCACGGAACACCAATGCTACTTGATGGAGTGCGGTGTGTTGGTGAAGAAAAACACACAAAATAATGACACGAAGAAAATGTGACTAAACCAGTTTGCTTTGTGTAAATGATAAGAATAAACCGAAATTAATGCACATGTGAAATGTGCCTCAGAATGTGAACAAACCATCTCACCCCTATCCTGTAGGATCAGTTTCAACTGATTTGTTGCTGCACTAATACAAAAATAGAGCCTCTGTTCTAGAGGCTACTTATCATGTCTGCTAATGGAATCACATATTTAACTTTAGTTGAATTGTTTAACTAACAGAATTGTAAAGGTCATTGGTTACTATTACAACAGAATTAAATTAAAAAGCTATTTAAAGATAAAATCAATACCAATGCTTCTGGCCAATGATAAAATAAGTCAGAAGTTCAACTTAGTTCAGCTTTTCTCTGCTGTTTGGTATAAGTAGATATTCACTAACATTCACTCTAGAATTTTACATTAGCCACAAACTGAAAAAAATGTTTTTGTTTGTTCAGCTTGATAATGTATTGAATTTAAAGTGTGTTTCATGAACACTCAACTTACTCTATTTATTTTGCCAAGTGCTAACTGAACCACATCATAGGGTTGTCTGAAGAAAATAATCTATGTATAATCATGTGGATTTACACTGTATATACATGATTATATATATTTTTATTTTTAAGTTATTGTTTTGATCTTCTTGTTATATATAGGAAATATGCTAGACCAAGACAAAGACACTGGACTCCCTGCAAGGAAGGTAATTTTAAAGAGGACATATTATGCCTTTTTACAAAGTCTTGATTTTGTTTCTGGAGTCTGCTAAAATAGGTTTTCATGCTTGAATCTTCCAAAAAATGCATTATGTTTCACATATTTTACATTGTTGCAGGTTTTCAGTAACGCTCTAGGGTGCATTTCCCGTAACTCGCTGCTTAACTACCATAGTATACGTTGCATTGTTGAAGAAATCAACTGTAGTCACGACACCACATTGTCGCAAATTAGTCGTTCAACCACGTTGGTTAATGATGTCATGCAGGTGGTGGAGTAATAACTACTTTTAACAAATCTGTTGAGATCGAATTAATGCTAGATGTTTTGCTATAAATTACAGACATGGCATCTGAGGACTATTTTTCATTTTTCTCAGTTATTTTGCTCTATTTCCAGATTCAATCATAGGCTCGTTCTTACGTGGTTTAGCACGTTCGCACATGCGCACTCTTCAAAAACGGTGCTTTAAATCTCTTGACAAACTAAAAGACGTAAATGACATTTGTATGTATTCTAAATAAAAGATACAGATTGCACTGAATGTCAGCTTGCTTATTTTGCTCAAGACAAGGATTTATTAAGTCCACATGTCAGGCAAACAATAAACTAAGCTTAAAACCACAGCTCGAGAGCTGTCGTTCCAACCACACAACTTTGCGATGCTGTTTGCGAATGTTCGTTAGAACTATGTTTTCAGGAAACACTGACTCGTTGAACTTTGCTGATAACGACGGAATTTGCGACCAAAGTTGGCTAACGATGCTTTTGGGAAACGCATATGTGCTTATGCATTTTTTGCATATGTCTTGGGTGAGAATTCTTTAAACGAGGGATATTGTGACGTGTACGTTCCCGGAAGAAAACTCAAGACTACAATCGAGGCGTTTAAGAAAGTTCAGAAACAGTGCGCACTGATATAGGGAATAACTCCCTTTGGAGTGACTTTGTGCTTTTTAATGCTCAAACACTAAAGAAAGTTGACAATGTAAAAAAGCATATAGATCCTCTTTAAATTCTATAGAAATCTCTTACTGCAAAATAAATTTGCAACTCATACAGACAAAGATGCTCTTCGGACCAAGACACACAAAAGTCATATTGTATTTATGAGTATTAGTGACATTTTCTTTGATGAAGCTGCAAATTTGACTATGAAGTTGACAAATGCAAATGTAAAGCGAGGCAAAACTTTCAAACAGCAAATCGAGAAATAAAATTGCTCCTTCTACTCATCTTTTGTATTTGAGAGATCTGGTATTTGAATTTGACCAATAAGCTTCCAAAACCTTTTAACAGGGTGATTGCTATAGTTTTTGTTGGGGGCAAATAACAAGAAATGTTTTGTGCAAAAATTTTATCTCAACTAATCTTGGCTTGGGCCAGGGAAGTAGCACCTTCTAGAAACACTAGATGGTGTTCACACAGCAGGAAAAAAAAGAAAAAAACAAACAGTTTAAGGAACATATTATGGTGCGTGTTCTGTATGTGAAAATCACTTAAAATGGTTTTAATTGACCAATAAACGCCATTGACGACTTATATATCTTGCCAAACCAAATAAAAGAAAATTCCTAAACTTTACAGTATTCTAACTTGCCTTAGAATCACGTTCAGAATGTTTTTGACTACAGGTATAAGGAAGTGCGTACTAGAAGAGACACTTATGAAAAAAAAAGAAGAAAAAAAGGCTTAGAACAGCAACTGAATGGAGGAAATACAAATAAAGATACTTATTAATGATGAAAATCTCTCAACTTCATAAATTATTAGTTTCACTACTCTGTCTTTTGATTTTTACAGAGGTTATTTCTCTACTAAACATGCCTCGTTTTTTTTTTTCAAAACAGCTTTAAGTTTTTAAGCTTTTAAGTTAAGTTACGATTTTTCATGCAGGTATTTTATTAATCTCTCAGAAAGTCCAGCCTTCGCGTGCATTTGATACGCAGTTCATTTGCGTGTAATACACACGCACCCCACACCACTAATTCTACCCAAACGTATACCCCCCACACCACTACTAAACCTACCCTAAGCAACCCATGCGTATCCTATGGACGTAAAAACTAATTTTCGCGTATAAATTACACAATAAACACACTGCGTGCTATAGAGACGCATTTAGTGTGATCGGGTTGGTATGCTGTTAGGAGCTATCTTGGTGACTAAGGTTAAGTCTAGTTTGACAGTCAAGTATTCTCAGCTTCCTCTTGCACAATTTGCCAGTAAAGTTATTTGAGCACTGTAAATAGAAAAAAGGCGTATACAAAAGTAAATATTTTTTAAGTCCTGCGTCACTACAACATTCCCATTCTATGCAAAATGTGGTTCAGGGCAGTGTGTTTGAAAACTCACAAAATATATGTCTTAGTCTGACTTATGAAATTGAATGCACATAAGTAGGCTATTACATCCTTACTAAATCTCTACTTTTTAATGACTATAGATGTTTAATATGATTAACTTTAAATGTATTCACTATTTCAATATATTGGGAATACAGTGACCTAAAAAGCATACTCTACATATAAAAATGTCATTGCATTTAATAAAAAATATCAACCATGTGGCATCAGCAAACAAATGATTTTGGGCCTTTTCTCAGGCTTAAATGAAATGGCTAATGCTGTCAAATCGATTAAACACTTCTAACATAAAATGTTACACACAATCTTTTTGATTAGATATGATTAATCACGATTAATCGATTTGACAGCACTAGAAATAGCCATTTTGTGGTAACACTTTACTTGAAGGGGTGTGCATAAGACTAACATGACACCTTCATAATCATGACATGACACATGCTATGAATATGAAGGAAGTTTTATGCATGTTTGTGACAACTGTCATTAAGTGTCATTCGCTCAATTATGACATTTTTAATGCAAATATGATATTGTTTGAGATGTCTTTGTTACGACACCTTGACATAAACCAATACATCATAACCTGTCAGTGTCTTTGTCATGACAACTTGACATTACTAAGACAACACAACCTGTCATAAACATGACATAGCAGATTAATTATCAAACTTAAGAAACCACTTAGCTTTATTGGTTAACATTACATTAAACTGTCAGGTGGTTGGTTTTGACATTGGCTGTCATGAAGCCATTATAACTGTTTAATGACAAATTCAATTTGTACCACTGTAGTTGAGGTCACGAAAAATATTCATGACACAGTTATAATGGCCTTATGACAGCCAATGTCAAAACCAACCACATGACAGTTTAATTTAATTTAATGTCAAGCTGTCATGACAAATACACTGACAGGTTATGATGTTATGGTTTATGTCAAGGTGTCATAACAAAAACATCTTAAACAATGTCATATTTGCATTTAAAATGTCATTATTGAGCTAAAGACACTTAATGACAGTTGTCATAAACATGCATAAACCCCACTTCATATTCACGACAAATGTCATGTCATGGTTATGAAGGTGTCATGTCAGTCTTATGTACACCCCTTCAAGTAAAGTGTTACCCATTTTGTTTTTACGTTTATCCAGTGTAACATTTGACAACCAAATAGCCAAATAAATTTTTAAAAGTATATCATTTGATTTATCATTTCAAGCTTAACAAACCTTTGTATGTAAAGTACTGTATACTTCCTTATTGTGCATAATATTTCCTTGAAGAAGGTGTTCATTGTCACCCTAATAGGCTATATAATATATAAACTAATCTATTATTTGCAACAAGTCTTTTCTGATCAGCCTTTCTTTCTACTTAAGACTTCCTTAAACCTGTTCAGTTTTTTTTAGGGGAATTTTGAGAACTTGACTGGAAAGAGTGCGTGGCCTTCAGTTTAACAAGTTCAATTAGTGACAATGTGTCTGAAAGTCAGCAAAGAGGATCATTCTCATTGGCTGTGCTGATGCTGTTCATGCTCACACTGCATGCTCATTGGTATGTCTGACATAGGTAGCTGAACATGTTAGATAAACATGACTGGTAAGGAAACATCAAGGTGTAGCCAGACCAAGTGTTTAAAGCCACTAAAGTCAAATCTAAAGAAGCAAACTTAAAATTATCAAACATCTAATGAATCATCAAACACGTATTGGTAACTCTCACAGCACCATTTTCATTATTAGCAGTACTTTCACCTCCTTCTCCAGATCATCAAATAAAAAATTAAACTCGCATTTCAGCATCATCAACTTTCATCACTTTCATCAACCAATTTTGTTTGTCTCCCTTGAAGCACACACACCCACACCACACACATTCCATAGTCATAATTGGGTTCCCACAGGTCCTTGAAATCCTTGAAAGTTTGCAAATCTGAAAATCTGTCAAGGCC